ATCTTAAAATCATTATATTATTTAGCAGAAGCACAGTGGAGTAATGGATAGCAGCTCAGACTGAGGGACCGGATAGCAGAGTTCGAATTCCCGTCGAGTTCATTACATTCTTTTACGTGCTAATACAACTGGGAAAGGCATAAATCCATCTCTTATTCCTCTAGCTATGGGTCAAATAGCAGGACAGACTGAGTCCTGTAGACTTTGGTGGCAACCGGCCTAAGAAAACGAAAAACACTGAGAGGGTTGAGTCAGGAGAGGGTTGGGCTCCGCCAGGCTTCCTTGCCCAGGATACACCACTGATAGTGCAGCTGCAGTACATATGGTACCCCAATGACCCTCACGGATCTCGTGATCGTCTAAATCTTATTTACCAGAAGCCGCCATAAATATGAAAGAATTCTGAAAATATATTGAACTGGAGTTATTTAATTAGGCAAAGAACTCAAATCGCATTATTTACAGAACTTGTCAGTATTTGACATCATATCACTGAAATATCTCGTCAACCATGCAGAGACAAAGTCGTTCCTTGTAAACAATCAAATTGTTAAACAAAGATATCAAAACTTAAACATATCAAAATTTAGTCCTATGATTATTTACACAGTAACAAAGAATCTTTTGGTGAGCTTAAGAAAACGTTATCTTGATAATGATGAAGGAATTTGAATCGATGAGACTGGAACAAATTTCTGCCATTACTTATTGACGTAGACACATCTCTACCGAAATTGGAATAAAGATTATTAAATCATATTAGCAAAATCAATGTTTCTGATAAAAGCATGGAACTTTACCATTTTGGAAGAATAAATTCATAATTTTATACATTGAAAATCAAGAAGAAAGGGATTGTCTGTGGTCAAGAATGAATGCAAGCATTACCGATAGAATATGGATATTACATGCATAATGGAAATGTACTGCTAATGAATTTACTATAAAAATGCATTGAAAATCAGGAAGAAAGGTATTGTCTGTGGTCAGGAATGAATGCAAGCATTACTGATAGAATATGGATATTATATGGATAATGGAAATGTCCTGCTAATGAATTTACAATAAAAATGCATTGAAAATCAGGAAGAAAGGGATTGTCTGTGGTCAGGAATGAATGCAAGCATTGCTGAGAGAATAGGACTGTTGTATGGATAATGGAAATCTATTGCTAGTCAAATATGTATATATATATATATATATATATATATATATATATATATATATATATATATATATATATATATATATATATATATATATATATATATATATATATATATATATAGCAACATGACCTGGCGTTGCCCGTGTTTGATGCAAAAAAATCGTACGACTCATACACCAAACGCTATCACTTAACTTAAAATATTTTTGCCCTTCCTTGCCTTTAAAGGAGTGCCCTTTGCCGTGCTGATGTTGCTACATGCCTTACTTCTTGCCTATCTCACACTGCGAATTTTTCTAAGCTCTATACTAAACATTAAATCTGTTACGAAAAAACAACTAAACAAAATGAACACAAAACGATCAGCTTTAAAAAAGGACTCGTAACTGGAAAAACCGAATGAAAAAAAGAATGTTAACAACAAATACTTTTCACATCCAACCCAGTTCTGCGGAATCAGAATCAACGTTGAGTTTAAGCAAGCGAATGAGCCAATTGGAGTAAAGTGCCATGCAGATTAAAATTTTTCCCACTTGTGACGAATGCAGCTATTGATTTTTTTTGCATGCTAGCATGCTAGTTAACATTCGTGTCAGTCAGCTGTTGGCTCTCACTCTGGCCAGTAGAAAATGGCCGCAAACTACATGAAAACTGCCGTAGAAGCATGAAAAAATCGATTATTTCGACTATTGATCGGAGTTGGTCTTGGCCTTCCCACTAACTTGGAGCATGAGCATGCAAATTTTGGTGCAAATCCGTCGAAAATTGCGGCCGTGCATTTGTTACACATACACACACATCCTGCCTTATATATATATATATATATATATATATATATATATATATATATATATATAATGTAATTATATTTTAAGTAATGTTGAATTCTATTGAAAAAGGGGGTGATCATGAACTAGTGTAAGTGTATAAATTTATTAGTGTGGCTACATAGCCTAACATAATGTTTTGCTTCTAAGTCAAGGACATTAGATAAATGCTTAACAATCTATGATCTCTGTTCAATTTTCTTTAATAAAAATGATACACTAGAATCCATTATTGTAAATTCCCCTTTGTTTTTCCTGTTTTAACAATGCATATTTTTAAATCAAGCTGTAAATATAAAATAGGTCGCTTTATCGGCTTTCCACTGACCGGACAAATCACCTCAACATTGTTCTGTAGTTCTGCAGAAGTTGGGATTGCGGTGTTTACTCATTCCCCCACGAGAATGAGATGTGACACAAGGTCGGATTAATGTGAGGACCCGAACGCGTGCACTCGGGCAGGGTCAAAAATTCCCCTCAGCCCCCGCAACCAACCGTTGCGCAGACCTCGGTGATCCAGTGTTAAATAAGTTGGGATTGCATATTCACAGACAAGCAAAATATGGTAACTAACATCAATACTGTTTCCAATATATTTCATTGTTTATTTAGGGATTTACATTTATGGTCTGAGTCATGTGGGGCATGTAGATAGGTAGGTGACCCTTGGAACCACTTCTGTGACTTCTTTCACGACAGACTAACAGATAAGATTTTCCCTTCAACCAGTGACACTCTTCTAACACCTCTCTACCCGTCTCTAAATCCGAACGCACTCACAACTCACCCTGTGGGTGGCACCAAAACTTCCAGTCTATACCACTTAACAGGTAGTTTTAGAACTACTCTCAGTACTAAATATGACTGTTTATATAAGCATGGAACTTTCTAACTTCCGGTCAATCGTTACTTGTTCCCAAAAGATTTTTTATTTACCCATTATGATAGTCCCTTTTGGTCAAGTGGGTGGCCGCTTTCAAAATCATACTTTGTAGACTTTACAGCTGGTCATAAAAAAGCAACACACTTCAGATGAAATCATTTAAAGCCCCCTTGATTTCATGTTCTATTGTGTGGTAATTCATAAAAGAAATCTTATGTATGAGAACATGGATATCTTTGAGGGATTTAAGATTTTAGCGCCCTATCCCCAAATTTTAAGAACCACTGAATAACATTGCTAAAATGGAGATTAAATGTGTTAGATTTAGATTTTGGTGGCTGATGGCACAAAAGACTGTCAGTTTGTTTTTTTATTAATTAGATAGACCCCTGTCTACCTTCCCTCAGCATGGCTGATGTTAACGTATAGAAGAGTGACTGATTTGTGCCTTCTCAGGCTAACATTATTGGTTGGCATGAAGTGAAAAGAATATATTGAATCCATTGCTGGAACAAGTGCTAAGAAAGTCACTTCACTGTGTCGTGTGAGAACTTTCCTCCTCGGAATCTACCATACATATCTACAAGTTTACCATACATTCATCCATGCTTTGAATATTGCTGCTACCTCTGGTCTGGTGCTTCTGCTATATATTTAGAGATTCTTGATAAAATCCAAAGAAGAATCTATCTTACATATTTATAAGTCTACCATTCATCCTTGCTTTGAATATTGCTGCCACATTTGGTCTGGTGCTTCTGCTATATATTTAGAGATTCTTGATAAAATCCAAAGAAGAATCTATCTTACATATTATAAGTCTACCATTCATCCACTTTGAATATTGCTGCCACATTTGGTCTGGTGCTTCTGCTATATATTTAGAGATTCTTGATAAAATCCAAAGAAGAATCTATCTTACATATTTATAAGTCTACCATTCATCCTTGCTTTGAATATTGCTGCTACCTCTGGTCTGGTGCTTCTGCTATATATTTAGAGATTCTTGATAAAATCCAAAGAAGAATCTATCTTACATATTTATAAGTCTACCATTGATCCTTGCTTTGAAACTTGCTGCCACATCAGGTCTGGTGCTTCTGCTATATATTTAGAGATTCTTGATAAAATCCGAAGAAGAATCTATCTTACATATTTATAAGTCTACCATTCATCCTTGCTTTGAATATTGCTGCCACATCTGGTCTGGTGCTTCTGCTATATATTTAGAGATTCTTGATAAAATCCAAAGAAGAATCTATTTTATATATTTATAAGTCTACCATTCATCTTTGCTTTGAATATTGCTGCCACATCTGGTCTGGTGCTTCTGCTATATATTTAGAGATTCTTGATAAAATCCAAAGAAGAATCTATCTTACATATTTATAAGTCTACCATTCATACTTGCTTTGAATATTGTTGCCACATCTGGTCTGGTGCTTCTGCTATATATTTAGAGATTCTTCATAAAATTCAAAGAAGAATCAGCAATGTTATTGGTCTTGGCTTCAGTCCTTTTCCTGCCACTGTAAAGCTGCCTCCCTCTGCCTTTTCTCTAAATACTTGGTAATTGTTTGGATCAGCTATACGCTATGGTAAGAAAGAATGCATTATTTTGCTGTAAGGAATATTATAGTATGTCTGGGTTAGCGATTGTGGCTAGTTAAGTTTAAAATGAAGACTGAAGAAAACTGCTCCTTTCACCCCCCCCCATTCTCCCTTTTGACTTTGTGCCACATTTTGTATATATAAACAAATAAATATTGCTCTTGGCTATGGTATCTAGACTTTATGAATTTAAGTGCAGAACTAGACTAGCATCAAGTTGAAATGGCTAGATGTAACCGTAAGTTTTATGCTAACAGTTTCTTCTCTCGTGCTTGTGGAATTCTATTCCGGTTCCATGCTTTCCGATCAACTTTGGTCTTCAAAAATTTAAATCCAATGTCAATCATTATTGTCTTCTTGATTACTCTTCTACTGTTATTGTTCCTTAGTAATGTTTCTGTTTTCTAATTCTTTCACACTTTCTTGTGTCTTAGTGACTTTATTGCCTTGCTTGAGGTGAATTTGATTAAAAATGAAAAAAAAAGAAAAAAGTGACATTTGTCATTAACAGACACCCACTAAGACACCAGCAGCTCCTTCTAAGAACTAAGGTACTGCTTGGTCTCAATCTGGTCATAACTCCCCTCTCTCGGTTTCACTTCGTATCCCATCTTTCTCTCACTATATCTGGGCATATATCATGCCTCTCTATCTCTCCTTTCTTGCTCTTTCAGTCTGTTCATATCATCACTCTTTCTCTGTTTTTACCTGATAATCTATCTATCTATCTATCTATCTATCTATCTATCTATCTATCTATGTCAGTCTATTCATATCTATCTAGCTATCTATCTATGTTCATATCTTTCCTTTCTGTTCATATCTGTCTAGGTATTTATCTACTCTATCCAAGTATGTTAATATATTTCTATCTCAGTTTATTCATGTCTATCTGTCTATCTATCTATCTATATATCTCATTTCATATGACATTTTTTCCTCTAGCTGTTTCAATCATTTTTATATCTTATCTCTTTTCTATTCCTATCTATCTATCTATCTATCTATCTATCTATCTATCTATCTCTCTCTCTCTATATATATATATGTAACAAAAACATTTTTCTAAATTTAAAATTCCCAGGGTTATTGGTTCATATTAAGTGTAGTCGCATCAGTGTAAAAGAACTTAGTCTGAGGAAGTCCCAAGGATGGAAATGAGAAATAATTTTTGTTCTCAAATAAAATTTTTGCCACTTTATCATATATCATTCCCCCAAAACAGTTTGTAATGAAAAAAAAACGATATATATATATATATATATATATATATATATATATATATATATATATGGGGGGGGTAAATGATATATGAGGAAAAGAATAATTGGCGGATTATAATATATATATATATATATATATATATATATATATATATATAAAACAAAAACAGTGGATAAATTTAAAATTAAAAAATAACTGGAAAAGACAGTCATTATCAGAGTGAGACAGAAAATAAAGAAAGAGAGAGAGAGAGAGAGAAAAGAAAAGACAGAAAGAGAGAGAGAAAGAAAAGAAAAAAAAGTTTTTGTAATTTATAACTGAAGATGATCTTAGAAAATGAAAAAGTACTTTAGGTTAAAAAACTATAGGGCCTTAGTTGATGAATGAATCTTAAAAGAAAGAAATAGCAGATTAGACAAGGAGGAAAGGATCAGAATGAAAATAAGGAGACACAATATGTCAGATAAATTGAATTCAGGTGAAACATATTTGAATGAAGATATAGGAAGGAAAAAGGACATATATAAAAATGTGTGAGTGTGTGTGGAATGTGTGTGTGTGTGTGTGGATGTGTGTCTGTTTAGGAAGTATATCTTAATTCAAACATGAAAGGAGGAGAAAAGAATATATATATATAATATATATATATATATATATATATAACATGGATGAAGTGGATTGAGTCTAAAGTTAAAAAGAATATTGAGAGATTTTGTTTAAAACGACTATCAACGTAGAAAGTAAACAATTACTTTTACATTTTCCTTATTAATATGAAGAGCATATCAAAATGATGTAGGAAAAAGGAATTTTTAAGGAAGGTCAAAGGAAGGAAAGAGCGTTGTTAGATAAATGAGAAATAGTTTTTGTTCTCACTTTTAATTACTTACCAATTTAATTGTTTATTTTTTCAAAGAAATTAAAATACAGATTAAAATAAAGAAAAAAGAAAACAGATAAATAAAAAGAGAAGATGAAAAAAAATAATTAGAAAAGAAAAAAATGGAAAGAAAAATTGAAATAGAAATAAAAAAGGAGGAAAAAAGAATAAAAAGAAAAGGAAAGAAAGAAAAACAGAAATTGAAAGGAGGAGGAAAAGAAATTGAGGATGAAAAGGAAGGAAAGAAAAGAAATAACAGATAAATTGAAAAGAAGGAGGAAAAGAATAATTGGAGGATGAAAAAGGAAGGAAAAAAAGAAATAAATGAGGAAAGATAAATTGAAAGGAGGATGAAAAGAATAATTGGAGGATGAAAAAGGAAGGAAAGAAAGAAATAACAGATAAAGTGAAAGGAGGAGGAAAAGAATAATTGGAGGATGAAAAAAGGAAAAGGAAAGAAGAAATAGCAGATAAATTGAAAAAGGAGGAGGAAAAGAAATAATTGGAGGATGAAAAAGGAAAGAAAGAAAGAAAAAGGGAAAGAAAGAAAAGTGATAAAGGAGGAGGAAAAGAATAATTGGAGGATGAAAAAGGAAGGAAAGAAAGAAATAACAGATAAATGAAAAGGAGAAAAATAATTGGAGGATGAAAGGAGGAGGAAAGAAAAAATAACAGATTGGAGGAGGAGGAGGAAAAGAAATTGGAGGATGAAAGGAAGGAAAGAAAGAAATAAGATAAATTGAAAGATAAAGAATAAAGGATGAAAAGGAAAAGAATAATTGATAAATTGAAAGGAAAGAATAAAAGGAAAAAAGGAAGGAAAGAAAATAACAGATAAATTGAAAGGAGGAGGAAAAAGAATAATTGGAGGATGAAAAGGAAGGAAAGAAAAGAAATAACAGATAAAATTGAAAAGGAGGAGGAAAAGAATAATTGGAGGATGAAAAAAAAGGAAGGAAAGAAAGAAATAACAGATAAATTGAAAGGAGGAGGAAAAAAGAATAATTGGAGGATGAAAAAGGAAGGAAAGAAAGAAATAACTGATAAAATTGAAAGATAAATTGAAAAGGAGGAGGAAAAAGAATAATTGGAGGATGAAAAAAAAGGAAGGAAAGAAAAAGAAATAGCAGATAAATTGAAAGGAGGAGGAAAAGAATAATTGGAGGATGAAAAAGGAAGGAAGAAAGAAATAGCAGATAAATTGAAAGGAGGAGGAAAAGAATAATTGGAGGATGAAAAAAAGGAAAGAAAGAAATAACAGATAAATTGAAAGAAGGAGGAAAAGAATAATTGAGGATGAAAAGGAAGGAAAGAAAGAAAAGCAGATAAATTGAAAGGAGGAGGAAAAGAATTGGAGGATGAAAAGGAAGGAAAGAAAAAGAATAAAATTGAAAGGAGGAGGAAAAGAAAATGGAGGATGAAAAAAAAGAAAGAAAGAAATAGATAAATTGAAAGGAGGAGGAAAAGAATAATTGGAGGATGAAAAAGGAAGGAAAAAGAAAGAAATAACAGATAAATTGAAAGGAGGAGGAAAAGAATAATTGATGAAAAAAAAGGAAAGAAAGAAATAACAGATAAATTGAAAGGAGGAGGAAAAGAATAATTGGAGGATGATGAAAAAGGAAGGAAAGAAAGAAATAACAGATAAATTGGAAAGGAGGAAAAAAGAATAATTGGAGGATGAAAAAAGGAAAGAAGGAAAAGAAAAGGAAGGAAAAGAATATTGGATTGAAAGGAGGAGAAAAAGAATAATTGGAGGATGAAAAAAGGAAGGAAAGGAAGAAAGAAAGAAGCAGCAGATAAATTGAAAGGAGGAGGAAAAGAATTGGAGGATGAAAAAGGAAGGAAAGAAAGAAATAACAGATAAATTGAAAGGAGGAGGAAAAGAATAATTGGAAAATGAAAAAGGAAGGAAAGAAAAGAAATAGCAGATAAATTGAAAGGAGGAGGAAAAAAGAATTGGAGGATGAAAAAGGAAGGAAGGAAAGAAAATAACAGATAAATTGAAAGGAGGAGGAAAAGAATAATTGGAGGATGAAAAAGGAAGGAAAGAAAAGAAAAAGCAGATAAATTGAAAGGAGGAGGAAAAGAATAATTGAGGATGAAAAGGAAGGAAAGAAAGAAATAACAGATAAATCGAAAGGAGGAGGAAAAGAATAATTGGAGGATGAAAAAGGAAGGAAAGAAAGAAATAGCAGATAAATTGAAAGGAGGAGGAAAAGAATAATTGGAGGATGAAAAAGGAAGGAAAGAAAGAAATAACAGATAAATTGAAAAGAAGGAGGAAAAGAATAATTGGAGGATGAAAAAGGAAGGAAAGAAAGAAATAACAGATAAATTGAAAAGAAGGAGGAAAAGAATAATTGGAGGATGAAAAAGGAAGGAAAGAAAGAAAACAGAAAGAAAGGAGGAGAAAAGAATACTGAGGATGAAAAAGGAAGGAAAGAAAGAAATAGCAGATAAATTGGAAAGGAGGAGGAAAAGAATACTGAGGATGAAAAAGGAAGGAAAGAAAGAAATAATAGATAAAGGAAAGGAGGAAAAGAATAATTGGAGGATGAACAAGGAAGGAAAGAAAGAAATAACAGATAAATTGAAAGGAGGAGGAAAAGAATAATTGGAGGATGAAAAAAAGGAAGGGAAAGAAAGAAATAACAGATAAATTGAAAGGAAAGGAGGAAAAGAATAATTGGAGGAGGAAAAAAAGGAGGAAAGAAAGAAAATAACAGATAAATTGAAAGGAGGAGGAAAAAGAATAATTGGAGGATGAAAAAGGAAGGAAAGAAAGAAATAACAGATAAATTGAAAGGAGGAGGAAAAGAATAATTGGAGGATGAAAAAGGAAGGAAAGAAAGAAATAAAACAGAAAGAGGGAAAAGAAAATGAAAAGGAAAAAGAAAGAAGGAGGGAGGAAAAGAATATTGGAGGATGAAAAAGGAAGGAAAGAAAAGAAATAACAGATAAATGAAAAGGAGGAGGAAAAAAGAATTGGAGGATGAAAAAGGAAGGAAAGAAAGAAATAGCAGATAAATTGAAAGGAGGAGGAAAAGAATAATTGGAGGATGAAAAAGGAAGGAAAGAAAGAAATAACAGATAAAGTGGAAGGAGGAGGAAAAGAATAATTGGAGGATGAAAAAAGGAAGGAAAGAAAGAAATAACAGATAAATTGAAAGGAGGAGGAAAAGAATAATTGGAGGATGAAAAAGGAAGGAAAGAAAGAAATAACAGATAAATTGAAAGGAGGAGGAAAAGAATAATTGGAGGATGAAAAAGGAAGGAAAGAAATTGAAAAAGGAAAAAGAATAATGAGATGAAAAGGAAGGAGAAAGGATTGGAGAATACTGAGGATGAACAAGGAAGGAAAGAAAGAAATAGCAGATAAATTGAAAGGAGGAGGAAAAGAATAATTGGAGGATGAAAAAGGAAGGAAAGAAAGAAATAACAGATAAATTGAAAGGAGGAGGAAAAGAATAATTGGAGGATGAAAAGGAAGGAAAGAAAGAAATAGCAGATAAATTGAAAGGAGGAGGAAAAGAACAATTGGAGGATAAAAAGAAGGAAAGAAAGAAATAGCAGATAAATTGAAAGGAGGAGGAAAAGAATAATTGGAGGATGAAAAAGGAAGGAAAGAAAGAAATAGCAGATAATGTGAAAGGAGGAGGAAAAGAATAATTGGAGGATGAAAAAGGAAGGAAAGAAAGAAATAACAGATAAATTGAAAGGAGGAGGAAAAGAATAATTGGAGGATGAAAAAGGAAGGAAAGAAAGAAATAGCAGATAAATTGAAAGGAGGAGGAAAAGAATAATTGGAGGATGAAAAAGGAAGGAAAGAAAGAAATAGCAGATAAATTGAAAGGAGGAGGAAAAGAATAATTGGAGGATGAACAAGGAAGGAAAGAAAGAAATAGCAGATAAATTGAAAAGGAGGAGGAAAAGATGATGAAATTG